TTTTTCAAATAGCTGATAAGTCTAAATTCCGAACTGGCATGCCCTTTCACCTTTTAGAATGTCTTGATTCATTCATGCTTGCATGCATGCACATGTTCAGAACAATCTGATAAACACTTTGTATTGAATAGACCATGAGCTAAATGCTGGAAACAAACCACGAGTAAGACGCAGTTCTTTTCTCACTAACATTAATCCTGCCAGGCAGGGGAGTGGCCGTGGGGGGGGGGGGGAGCAGCAAGGTGTGCACACTGTGGTACATACAACCAACTTAAACACGACCTGAAAAGTTTACTCTTTCTAGAAACAAAATGTTACATGAACTTTTTTCCATGAAGATGTCTTTGATGACTCAGTGGAGGAAATGACATTTAAACAAGGTCTCAAAAGTTGAAATATAGAGTGCTTTGGTAGAGGAAGGGTTTTCCTAGCAAAAAAACAAGCAAACACACTGTTAGAGAAGTCAGAGTATCAAAGTTAATGCCATATTTGAGAGGCTGCATAAAGGAGATGTAAACTTCTTTGCAGGTGAGTGACAGGAAATGCAAATCGAGACCAGGGACCAATTTGTGAAAGGCAGTAAAGCTGATTCAAGGAAACACAATTGAGAAAGAGCTTAAGGCCTACGTTATCTTCCTTGAATAAATATAGAATTTCAGGTGGGTTTTAAGTTGGTGGGGAAAATCATCATTCTCTCTCTGTCCACCCCCACCCCATCCTCTCCCCCCTACCTCCTGGTCCTTTCACTCTAAAGACAATGAAAAAACTGTCCTCAGGTGAATATAAAAAAATAAAATAAAATAACATTTACACATATAATACCAAACTCTAGCATCCAAGTAGGAGGGGAATTGTAGCCTTTCACTTACAAGAAAGATAACTAGTTATAAAAGTGCAAGTTTCCATTTGTGGTTGCATTAGCAAGTAAATACTCTTTCCCCCCGCATGGAGCGCTGCTGTACCTGGATATACTCAAGTTTTCAGTCTCCCCAGAAAGCTTTCCTTCCCCTCCCAAACAGGTCAGCACCGCTTCTGGTCCACCTTTCATACACATCCCTCTAAAGGTGGATTATCCATTTACACCTCTCTCCCAACTAGAGTGTAGCCTTCTGGAAGATAGTACCACCGAATTCCCAGCACAATTCCTGGAATAGGGTGGCATTTGAGTAATCATTGAATGAATGAAAGAGTCAGTGAACAAGGCTGGGGTGCTTGCCACAGGTATAGTCACTCACACACTGAAGAATGGTGATATTTTGGTGTAGGTCAAGAGTAGTAAAAAATTTTTTTAAGAGTAGGATGCTTTGGGGGTGGGGGTTGAATGAATAACAAGGAAGAGGAGCTATCGGGAGTAGGATATTAAATAAGAAAAATATGTAGATGCCATTGAGGGCCTAATTAAGTCTGGAAGAGCAAGGTTTTTCTTCTTCTCCTTCTCCTTCTCCTTCTCCTTCTTCTTCTCCTTCTTCTTCTTCTTCTCCTTCTCCTTCTCCTTCTCCTTCTTCTTCTTCTTCTTCTTCTTCTTCTTCTTCTTCTTCTTCTGTGCAGCGTGGAGCCTCTTAAGCATGGTTGAGTTTGAATCACCTCCCAATTGGTACATGGCAGGGAAAGTTGCTAAAAACCAGACTGAAATTTATTTTTAAAAGTATGATGTTGCTATGCCCAAGTGCTTTTCATGCTGTTATAATAAGAGTCTTTATTGAGAATCATGTAGCTTGTCTCTTCATTCCTGCTAAGTCATCATTGAGGTATCATTTACGTATAGTGAGTCCAAACCACCTGTGTCCCAGGGTGTAGGGATGAGTTCTGACGTGTGCATAGGCATCCAGATTTGGTTTATCCACCAAAAGATGAGACAGAGGAATTTCTTAGTAACAGGTGCTGTAAAGTCTTTAATACTCTGTTTTTGTGATGATATTGAAATATTTTGACATGAAGATCCAGTCTGGCTGTTTCAAAAGCATATTATTTTAGCATTGACTATTTCGAATGCCCTGAAATGCCAACAGTCTTTTTTGTCTTCCAAATAAATCTCCCATTAATTTAAACTGTATAACATGGGACAAGTATTTGGGAAAACCAATGATGCTAGCTTTACCAGCCTCTACTCAGATGCATGCCTGAGACCCACTGGCATTTTGCTGGCAGACACTTCGATAAAACCACAATGAGCAATAGAGAGACAAGGCCAGTGCTGAGATGACCAGGGAACTCCCACGACTGCAAACCCACCGCTCAGTCAAAAGTCAATTCATTTTCCATATTCTCAGCATGTTGAAAATGCCTGTTATCCACTATTTTTTCAGCCTCTGCTTTATGCATTTATATGCTTTCAACAATAGAGGGCCTGCGGGTTCAGGAAGGGGAGAAGAGGAAGGGGGAATAAACAAAAGAGCACTGCAACTTTAGAAATTCACAAAGAACGAATCAAGGCAATGTGATCAAGGTGTCAGTTTTATTACTGGTGAGAGCTGATTTAAAGGCTAGGGTGGGCCTGAGATGAGCAGGAATAATAGGTTTCTTGATTTTGAGCGCCCCCAAAATTGACATGCCCACCGCCCACTCTGGGCAGCAGGGAACAGCTCTAGTTCTCTTGGGGGGGGGGGGAGGCCCTCCCTGTCGGATGTGCAGTGCAAGGTGTTTGCTCCTGGGACGTTGAGGAGGGGTGGGACTCAGCCACACAAGGTCGTCCCTTCCCTCAAATCAGCAATCATTTAAGTCACACCACCTCCCTGTGGGGAGATGCTGGAGGCTAAGAATTTCCAGGAAACTTACCTGGAAATAAGTGTCCTCGTCCTCTTGGGTAAATGAAGGTGGGAGCTGTCAAGGGGCTGACTCTTTTGGAACTTCCGTCTGTGGAGTTAAATTTTCTGTGTCTGGAAAGTAGAGAGGATAAAAGGAAGGAGACATATGTCAAAGCACAAACTTTGGAGACTGGCAGCCTGACACAGTAAATGCTAAAAATATATATATAGCAATCCCATTCAGTCTTCATTTAGATAATTCCACATGTTCCTTCCATTTCTGATCTACTGAACTTGAGATATCTGTGCCAGAAACTATAGGCACTTGCATTGAGGATTTTTGTAATGCAGGAGAAAATTAATTAGTTGATTTGTTGCTCGGCTTGGAAATGGAGCCATTAAACCCCTTTAGAAGTTCTGGAGACTGACCCCGAAGAGCGCAAGACTCTCAGGATCAGCAGAGGGCAGGAGCCACAGAAGAGACCAGTAGGAAATAGAGAGACTAGAGACTAAGGAGGAAAACTAGGCGGGTGGGCAACAACAGAAGTAAGGAGAGGAATCATTTCAGGAAGGAAGGAGGAGTCCGTGTGTCAGATGCTGCAGAAGACCTGGTCCGGTAGGATAGGAAATGAGCCTGTAGAGAAGGCCATGGCTGTTACTGCCCCTCAGGTATGGAGCACTGACTCTGTGCTAAACACTGTGCTGTTTGCTCGTGTACAGTATTGACTTAATTCTCAACCCACTACCTGCATTTTATAGATTAGGGAAGTGAGAGCCACAAGACTTTGGTACCAGCTTGACTTAGGTCACATAGCTGGAATGTGACATAGTTGGAACTCAGATCCCTGCCATCTGACTCTTATCTCCTGAGCTCCCCTTCCTTCTGGGAGACTTGCTTTTGCTCATGCTTGAGGGGAATAGTGAGGGTGGAGAGGCAGGCAGGCATGAGGGGAGGCAAAAAGGTGAGCAAGTGGAAGAGGGTAGGCTGATGTTTGTCTGGCGTGGTTGGTTTGCTTTAAGACAGCAAGGCTTCAGCACTAACCAATGATGACAGGGGCTCAGACGGGAGCCGGAGAGTGGAGACATTCAGAGAAGATGTAGAAGACAGTGGGCAGGTATGCATGTGGAGGGGGGTGACCTGAGGAAGGAGGGCCCCCTCCTCCTTTGTGACAGGACAGAGCAGAAGTAGTTGAATTTGTAAGTTTAACGTCAGAACACTGAGGAAGTTTTCTTCTGACTGTTCTCATTTCTCTCTATCCCACTCTTCCCCATTCTCCACCACCTGTCGTCCCCTTTTCTGTCTGGAACACCCAGCTCCTCCATCAAATTTTAGTTTTTGTCACTCTCCTGTGCCCTCAGACAGGATTATTTCCTCTGGGCTTCCAGGGAGCCCTTAATATCTATTCCATCAGGACCAACCTCCTCACCCGCTGGCTGTGATTTCGTACTAAGGAAGCATGAATAAATTCAGTTTGCTCCAAGACATCGAGCCACTCCGCAGGAGCTCATGATTTCGAAAGAGAGAAAGAGAAGTACACAAATGATTGTAATAAAAGTCACACTGGAGAAGGAAGGGTGCTGTGGGTGGGGTGGAGAGGGGAAGAAAGAGAGAGACTACTTGCATGAGTGATAGTTGGAGAAACTATAAGGAGTGTCATTGTAAGCTAGTTGTTGAAGGACAAGCATATTTTCATCTGACAACCATAAGGAATAGGCCATTTAATATGGGGGGTAGCCTCAGAAATGGCACAGAACTTGTTTGGCGTACACAGGATAGTCCACTTGGGTTGAAGGGTAGGCTATAGCCATAGTGGCGGGTCCACGATACAGTGGAAGGGCATGAGTGCTGGGTTAAGAAATTCTGTTTACTTGTATCCACTGAGTGTAGTTTCCTCTTTTTATATTTACCTGATCAGAAACATTATAGACATATCCAAAAACTTTGCTAAGCAGTCTTTTGGACTTAGCCAAGAAGTTTTTCATAAGAGTTTAGAGGTCATACCTACCATTCTCATTCCAGAAACTAGTTATACCAACATTCACACATTCGCAAACAACATCTTTGGGCCTGTGAGGAAGAACCACGTTACTGCGTTGGCCGTACTGGGGAAGGGAAGCCGAACAACAGTGAGCTCACTCTTGCAGTTACAGAATCAGACCCAACACTAGGTTTCTCGCTACTTGTAAATCACTATTCTTAATAACTCTTTTGAAACAAAAATAAAATAAAAAATAAAAACCTCTTTTTTCTTTCAGTTAAGAAAAAGAAGCCTAAACTATTAAATAAATTTGATAAGACTATTAAAGCTGAACTTGATGCTGCAGAAAAACTCCGTAAAAGGGTAGGTCGATGTTTTTGTTTTGTGCAGAAACATGCAATGGTTTCATTGTTAAATAAGCTCAGGCATTACTCTTAATGTGTTAAAAAAAATGGGAAGAGCAACAACCTTTGAGTAGAGTGGGTTTTTCCCCAGGGACATCAGCATTCTATGTGAAATGAATCTACCAAAAAGAAAAATTGCAGCTGTAATGGCCAAAGAGAGCTGGAGCTGACCTTCAGGGCAGCTGACTTGGGCGTCAGCCCATCTCCTCACATTCCAGCACGTGGCTTGGGGCAAATCCCTCCGCCATTCCGAGCCTCGGTTTCCTTATTTTAAAAAATGAGAATAATAGTAATCATACTCCCTCTTTTGTTGTTGTAAAAATCAAATGAAGTTAGGGGAAAGAAAGCATCCCCATGGTCAAGTGCCATGTAAGTGGAGGTTTTAATTTTATAGCACCTCCAACCCAAAAGAAAAAGTAGTTCAGTACCGTACTCTTAAGATAGTTACTGTTCGGCGCAGTGGCATTAGGTTTAACACTCTTCTCACTTGAGGTTAACTGCTGGCACCTCCAGGGTTCAAGTGGCTTTTGTATTTTGCTTTGTCATCAGTTAATTTGAAATCTCACTTGCTTGTTTCTAGATATTACAGTTTTGAAACAATGCATTGCCACTAGCTTGAAGTTGTTCTCCTAACCGGTCATATTCATCTAATCACTGGGTCAAGTATTTATTATAATGTACTTAATGACAACTTAATCATCTTCTTGTTCTTCAGGGAAATTTTTCTTTCTCTACCCTGTACTTGAATTTATACTCAGTATAATGCTCATTAGTTTTCCTGTAATATGCTTTTTTTATCAGTAGAATTAGGCTGCAAAAAAAAAAGGGACCTGGGGATAGTAAGTAAATAAGCAACAATATAAAAAATAAAAATACCCAAGTTAGAAACTGATGTGGAATATGAATGTGCTTCTCACATTTATTGGGAATGTCTGTGTGTACCAGCAAGCATGAAGCCTTCTGTATGAGCATAAGCCAGGGCCTTGCTTACCCTTGTTACCAACCAATAAAAATGCAGTAACTCCAAAGAATATTGCAGCAAAGTCGTTGTTCAGTTAAGTTAGCCTCGTGGAATGAATGATTTCTCAGTCTGTCTTGTTCAACTTTATAAAATGAAGCCATCTTCTATTTTAGAAAATTTGCATTTTTTTAACAGAAGTGAAGCAGGAATCTTCTTTTTCTATTACCTTGTCATTCTCCACTTCCTCCAAACCAAATGCCATATACACAACTGTGGACTGTCTATTAATAAGTGACTTTTTGGATAAAGAGCAAACAGCTTTATAGAAGGATTTTTATGTAATTATAATGAATGATAAAGAAGGGCTCAGTTTCCAAGGGGCAAATAGGTCAGTGGACATAAACGTGCTAGAACAATCCATGGGCTATTCTCTGGTTTTTGTTTATTTTGGAGAACTTACGAGGCTTTCCTCAAGGAGCAGCCTGTATCTATAACAGGGTGCATGAAGGAGGAAGAAGGAGCCACATAGGCAATTCTTGCTTCTGAAACACCCGGAAACCAAATTACTGACTGAATCATTGGCATAATTAAGTCCTTCAGGGTTTTGTAGCAAATGATTCCAGCCGCCGCACTTGGAAGAGTGGAGGTGTGGCCAAGGTAAGCCCCAGGCAGAGGAGGACCAGTCTCTGCTCAGGTCCCAGCTGCACATATTGTGCCACATGGAAGTGTGAAGTCACTTTATTTTTCCTTCAGAAATGTATAGATCAGAACACATTTCAATAATCTGTTTTTAGAAAATAATATTTATTGTTTAAAACTCCTTCTCACCCCCAGAAAAAACATTTCAGATTATTTGCTAAAATATTTGTTTATTTGTTGGAATCATTTATTGCTATTATTGTATTATAAGTGAAATAAAAAAGGAGAGAGAGAAGAAAATTTGAAGCCAGGGAAAGGCCAGCACCAGGAAGTTCACACCACAGGCTATACACAGTGCTAGAAATGAAATGAACCGCAGGTAGAACGAGGGGAGCAGCATTACACTGCAAGATGAATTGTCTTCATCAGAGCAGCTCCTCTGCACCGAGGCCACAGACAGACATCCTGCTGTAGATCTTTGCAAAGAGCGTAATGATGTGCTGACCACACCGCCTCTTCCCTAGTGTTGCACCCAGAGCCTGAGTCTGCAGGGGCGTGTCTTCACCTCCCTGCATTCCCCTGGCCTCATGCCAAAACAGTGGGTCCCCAGCACATGTCTCTCCAATGAACCATCTTGGTCTTAAGATAAAATATAAAGTATGTCGAAAGCAATTTTTACAAGCATTGTGTCTTGCAGTTGAGATTTTAAACGAGAATTTTGTCATAGTTCTAGGAGCTATATTCTCTAGTAAGAACCAAGGGAAGGGAAATTTCTTCAGACTTGAAAGCAAACACATTTACTTTGAAAAATAGTACCTTCTCAAGAAGGCCACATAGCCTGTGTCTTATGGGGATCCAAAAGATGCCTAGGACAGAACCAAAATATTCTATTATTTTTATAACCTTGATGGCCAACTAAGGAAATGTCAAGCAGAAACAAAATACTTTAGCAAATCTGTTATGAATCTTGTTGTTTCTATATTTAAAATCTGGTAATTGTTCATTTAGCATGCATTTCAGAAATAGAGCCTCAACATTTGCATTTTAAGTTTCATAAGGCTAAAAATGGTCCCTCCAAAGATGCCCATCTCCTAATGTCTATTAAGAACCTGCCAATGTTACTGCATTTGGAGAAAGGGTCTTTGCAGGTATGATTGTGTTAAGGATCTTGAAATGGGGAGACAGGCACAGTTATCCACTTGGGCCCTAAATGCAATCGCATGTTTTCTTAATAACAAAGAGGCAGAGGGAAATTTGATACAGACAGAACAGAAGACACACACAGAGAGGAGGTGGCAGGATGAAGACAAAAGTGGACTCTGGAGAGATGCATCCACAAGTCAGGAGATGGTGTCAAGGAGGCAAGGAACAGATTCTGCCCTGGAGCCTCTGCAGGAAGCATGCGTGGCTCTGCCCGCATCCTGACTTCTGCCCAGTGGCACTGATTTGGACGTCTGCTCTCCAGACCCGTGAGAGAGTAACTTTCTGTGGTCTGAAGCCACTAGGTTTGTGCTAAGTTGTTACAGCAGCCACAGCTAATCCTGGGCCGTGGGGTGCTGCCATAGCAAATACTCGAAAATGTGCATGTGGCTTTGGAGTTGGGTAAGGAATAGAGGCTGAAGAACTTTGAGGTGCATGGTAGCCAAAGCCTGGATTATCCTAAGCAGACTGTTGGGGGAAATATGGACATGAAAGCTGCTTGTGGGGAGGGCTCAGAGGAAGCGAGGGGCGCAGTAGAGAAAGCTCCCATTCTCAGAGAGAATACATATTGTTACAAACAAACTATCTTAATCTGAGTCCAGATATAGACATCAAAGGCACTGTGACGAGGGCCCAGAAGGAAATGAGGAACATGTTACTGAAAACTAGAGGAAAGGCAGTCCTCGTCGCATGGTGACAGGAAACGTGGCTGGATTGTATCTTACAGTCATTTGGAAGCAAGACTTCTAAGAGATGAACTTGGATATTTAACTGGGAAGGTTGTTTTTCAAGCAGTGTGTTCAAGGTGTGGCCTAGTTTCTTTCTGTTACTTGTAGTAAAATATGAAAGGAAAGAGATAATTAAGGAAATAAAAAACAGAATGTGACAATTTGGGAATTTCTCAGTCTATCCATATTTCTAAAGATGATAAAATGAGGAAACACACTGTTAGAAAAGCGTACTTTGAAAAGAACATCAAAGGTGGAGCTGGACATCCTTTTCCTGAAGAAATTAGATGTTGTGCCCTGTGGATCCCCGCCACCAGCACAGCAGAAGCAGGGAATAGAGATGGGGATGTCCTGGGAGGGTGTGTGACTGTCCTCCGAGGCTGTGAATTCCTGAGACACACACAAGGAACCTCTAAGATTTTTGAGAATATTATACCGGCAGAAGCACTGCCACCTTAAACTGAAAGAGACAGGACATACTGAAAAAAGGCTGACAGACTCCCCAAATTCTGTAGGCGAGAAACACACTGGTGACCCTAATCAGAGGCCAGAGGAGACAAGCAGGGCAGAGCAGAGGGATTGGTGGTGGGAGAGCCCTGAGCTGCAGACCTGGAAACCTGATAGAATTGGCCTTGCCATATTTTGAAATTGCTTGGAATCAGGGATACCTTGATTTCTTCTATTTTCTCCCTTTTGGAATATAAATGTCTATAAACCTGTTATCCCAGGCTTATCTCACCATGTTTTAGAAGCAGACAAATTGTTGCCTAGCTTCGTAGACCCACAGATGGAGAAGAATTTCACCCCAGGATGGACTATAAGTAGAGTCTCACCCATCCCTGCTTTGGGTGAATTAGACGATGTGATTTGGAACTTTGGAGCTGATGAGATTCCAAATCAGAGCTGCTAGCGTAGTGCTGGAGACTCCGGGGAACACTGGGATGGGTAAATCTGCTGTGAGACAGATGTGAATCACTGGGGTCCAGAGGGCAGAGTCTGCAAGGCTGGAAAATGGTTCCCCCAAAAGATAATTGTGTTCTAATCCCTGGACCTGTAACTGTTAACTTATTTGGTAAAAGGGCTTTGGCATGTAATGAAGGATTTTATGAAGGAGCTGTTTTCCTGGATTATTCCAGTAAACCCTGGAATAGTCAGGGTTTTCCAGAGAAGCAGAACCAATAGGACACATAATATTTGGGGACCAAGAAGTCTCACATCCTGCCATCTGCTAACTGGAGAACCAGGAAAGCCAGTGGTATAATTCAGTTTGAGTTTGAAGAACTGAGAATCAGAGCACCGATGGTGGAGGTCTCATCTGAGAATCAGCAGCGCCCATGTCTGAGGACAGGAGATGGATGTCTCATCTCAAGCAAAGAGAGCAAATTTTCCTTTCTCTGACTCTTTGTTCTATTCAGGACCTCTCCAGATTGGGTGATGCCTACCCAAGAGATGAGAATGGCCTTCTTTATTTCCTCTGTTGATTCAAATGCTAATTTCTTCCTCTGACATCCTCACAGACACACTTAGAAACAATGTTTTAGCAGCTATCTGGGCATCCCTTAGCCCAGTTGAGTTTGACACACAAAAAAATTAATCATCATAGGTCCCCAATTTGTCCTTTCAATGAAGAGGCAGATGGAAATTTGATCCAGACAGAAGAGAAGAAACATACACAGGAGAGAGAAGGTGATGTGAAAAAGGAGGAAGAGACTAGGATGATGTGGCCACATGCCCAGGAATGCCAGCAGCCATCGGAAGCCGAGACAGGCAAGCAGCAGACTGTCCCCAGAGCCTTCAGAGGGAGCGCAGCCCTGCTGAAACCTTGATTTCAGCCCAGTGGAACTGACTTTGGACTTCTGTGCCACAGATGTGTGAGAGAACTGATTTCTGTTGCTGTAGGCCACCGAGTTTGTGCTAATTTGTTATAGCAGTCCCAGGAAGCTCATACGGGGTAGTCAGAAGAAAGTCACCTAGAAAAAGATATTTAATATAAATCCTTCATTCCTTAAAATTATTTACAGAAGAAACAAAGTAGTGGTTTTAAAAAAAAACTAACTCTTATCCAAAATATACAAAGAACTCTTAAAATTCCACAATAAGAAAACATGAGCTAAAGACCTTAACAGACACCTGACCAAAGAAGATACACAGATGACAAATAAGTGTAAGGCGTTCCATGTCACATGTTATCGGGGAAATGCAAATTAAAACAACAGTGAACCCCCCACTACACACCTGTTAGGATGGACAAAGTCTGACCACCGACAGCACCCAATGCTGGCAAGGATGGGAAACACAAACTGGTATTTGTTGTTTGTGGGAAGGGAAAACAGTGCAGCCACTGTGGGAGACAGGTTTGTGGTTTCTTAGAAAACTGAATACACTCTTATACGATCTGGAAATCCTGTTCTTTGATCATTACCCAAAGGGTTTGAAAATTTATATCCACACAAAAACTTGCACATGGATGCTTGTAGCAGCTTAATTCATAACTGCCAAAATTGGAAAGCAACCAAATGCCCTTTACTAGGTGAATGGATAAATTAACTGTTACCACAATCAAGTATTACTCAGCACTAAGAAAAAAATAAAGTGATACCAAACCATGAAAAGATACGAAGGAACCTTAAATGCCTATGATTAACCAAAAGTTGCTAATCTGAAAAGGCATCCTACTGTATGATTCTAATTGTACAACATTCTAGAAAAAGCAAAACTATGGAGACAGTAAAAAGATCAGTGGTTGCCAAGGGTGGGTGTTGGGACACGGGATGGAGAGAAGGACGAATATGCAGAGCACAGAAGAATCCCAGGGCAGTGGAACTAATCTGTGTGATGGTGTAACGGTGGATGCAGGCAGGAGGCATTTATCAAAACCTGTACAATGCACGACACCAAGTATGGACCCTGAGGTACAGCGTGGACTCTGGGTGATTATGAGGTGTTCACGTGGGCTCGTTGATTGTAACAAACACACCACTCTGGTGCAGGGTGTTGATTATGGCGGAGTCTGTGCTTGGGTTGGGCTGGGGGCATCTGTGACATCTTTATACTTGCCTTCCAGTTTTGCTAGGAACCTAATCCTGCCTTAAATAATTAACACTGTGAGAGGGACAGCATATTTTCAATAGCGATACAATCATTTCCGACACTAAATATAACTCAGATGTGTCCTCGCTTGGTTATCTCTACATCCAAGTCCTTGTTTACTGTGCATCGTTAACCTGCCTGTCTGTCAGGGAAGAGACATAACCTGGGATGAGCCCCAGCATCTTGTGCTGGCCCACACGTCCCCACACACCACAGTAACAACAACAACAAGTAATATTCGATGCCCTCTGTGCTCTCTGCAATATGTACAGGCTCTTTGTGTATGTTTTGGGATTTGACCCGTATAGCAGCTCCACGAAGGAAGTCAAGGGCCCTCATTATCCCCATTTCACAGATGAAGCACCTAAAGAAAGTCTTCAGTAACTTGTCATAGGTCGCACACCTTCTAAGTGGTGGAGCCCAGACTCTCACCAGTCCGCCTGGCTTCGTGGCCTGCACTGGGAACCGCCACGCTGCATCTGTTCTTCACCAGCCCCTCCCTGCCATTGGTGGCCCTGGTGAGAGGGTGAGGACAACCCCTTCTTCCACAGTATCGAGGTGAAGAAGTGGTTTTCAGGAACTTTAACACGGAGGTTGCCTGACTCCTCCCTGCTGAGTGGTTCTCGATCTTTTGGAAGTAGGTGTACATAACCGTTGGTAGGCTGCAGTTTGTCCAGCTACCCAGGGATGGAAAACTTTGTTGTATGAAAACTTAATGAGGGAAAAACATAGAAATCCCAGTGAGCTTATGTTTCCACGTGGAATGAATGGATTTACCAACTTACAGGGAACTGAGGGTCTGGGGAAGTCGAACTCAGAAAACCTGTCTCTGTCCCATGGCTGCAAATATGCTTGACCGGCTGCCACCCGTTGGAAAGCAGGGCACAGGCATCTGACCCTGCAGAACGGCGCTGATGGACTGAGGAGGGGAGAGGGCTCCTCCGCCAGTGCCAAGACCCCCCCAGGTGTACCTGTTGCACTTCCTCTGTTCCTTTCCTTGCAGAGATGGTCAGAGACCTATCAGAGGCGCTCGGCCCATCTTCTCAAGGGCCCGTGTGAGCTGTGGGAGGGGTCACATGCCCCTGAGGCAGCGGGATGCGTCAAATCAACCCTGATGTCCAGTGGGTCACAGGAGCCACGGTCAGGTGGCCCTTGCATCCCGTGTGATTATTCCCTGTCATTTTAAGGTGCTTCAGACTGTTCATCACAGACCCTGAGACGTTCCAGCAGTATTTTTCCCCAACTTGAAGCCTAAGCATTTTCTTCAAGAACGTGTAGGAATTATACACTTAGAGGGAAAATGCAGCTTCTGTATCAAAGACCCGTATTACATCATTTGTCAGGTGTCTGTCTTTTAAAAGATAAAGTACGCTTACCTTCATTTCTAGTTTTGTTTCCATAGTACAGTTAATTTTTCTTAAATCTTAGATAAAACTCTCTTTAAACTCAGAATGGAATCTAGAACATTTGACAGAATTACTTGGTGAATATTTCATACTACATTGAATAGCATTATGCATTTAAATTCACTGTTTTATGAAATTACCTCTTCCTAACAGGGAAAAATTGAGGAAGCAAAGACTGCATTTGAAGAGCTAATTCGCAAATACCCTCAGAGTCCACGGGCGAGATACGGAAAGGCACAGGTATTCTAGAATACTTCTACTTAAATGACTGTTTGTGATGTCCTTGCGTTTTGTGAAATCGGATTTCTCATTGCCCACTATTTATTTGCATTTTTTCTTATAACTTTCATACAGCATCAATTCTCATGCATATACATAAACCCCAGCAATAAATATTCATTTAAATAAGACAATTAATTATGGCTATTGTGTAAACCTGAACTCAGAAACATTTTTCTGCCCTGCCCCCAAATGGCATCTCTCCGGTTTTGAAAAGAAAACAAAGATGAACACTTTGGTCATTGATTTTCCATTGCTGCCTAATCCCACTCCTTTTAGATACACAATCTGATTTTCACATTAGGCCCCTGAGAGCTTTAAGAACCTCGGCTGGAGAGGTTGCAAGTATCCTTAGGAAAGACTTTAAAAATATAAAGTGAGTGTTCTTGTGTTCTCTGTTGCTTCTTTCAACTGCCTTCTTTCTCACCAGCTCCCTTCTCCCCACGCCCCCCCATCTCCGTGTCTGTCTGACTTTCTCCATCGTCCGGCCCCTCATTTCATGAAGCCGGTCCACACTCACCCGTAGCTGCATAAACCCACCGTGTGTACATCCTGTTTCAGGCCCTGGGGTCGACGCGAACACTGCTGAGGTCCCTGTCCTCTTAGATCTCGTATTCCGGTGGAGGGCATTTTTAAAGTTCCTCAAAAATGATTGAGTGAAAACCCACGACATGCCAAGCCCTGTTTAGACACCACGGATGAGGTTGTGAGAACATGGAGTTTTCACTGTAACAGCAAAGATGGTCCATAAGACAAATAAGTAAAGTACGTTTGGTCCTAGTGATGAGTGCTAAGGAGAACCAGCATAAAGCAGAGAACAGCACAGGGTGTGTGAGGAGATGCAAGGCTGTCCTGAAGAGGTTACATTTGAGCAAAGCCTTGAAAGTCTTTACAGATAAATGCATATTCAAAGAATATTACAGTGTTAGAGTAAATATGAAGTCCTCTCACATAGTAACACATGCCATAAGGAAAAGGTCATGGGATAAAGAGCACACCCGTTAAGATCTGGGGGCTGCAGGTAATGTGGCAGAGCAGGTAGCACTTTAGAAAGGTGACCGGGCCCTCGCCGGTGTGGCTCAGCGGGTGGGAGCATTGTGCTGGACACCAGGAGGTTGCAAGTACGATTCCCACTCAGGGCACAAACCTGGGCTTTGGGTTCAGTCCCTGGTCAGGGCGCGAATGGGAGGCAACCAGTTGACGTTTCTCTCTCACATCCATGTTTCTTTCTCTGTTCCTCTCTCTAAAATTAATAAACATTTTCAAAATTTAAAAGAAAAGTTGATCAGAAAGGGCCTCTCTAGGCAGGTGACAAGTGATAAAAAGACCTGATAAGGTCGCAAAAGGAGCTGAACCGGCAGAAGGGGCCACAGGAGCGAAGGCCACGATGCAGAGAAGTGATCTGGCTAATAAGCTCCAGGACAGAAGGAGGGCTGCTCGGGGGCCCTGAAGGGGAAGTGAGGCCAGGGCCGTGCGGACTGCAGGCGCTGTGCACTGGGAAGCCATCGGAGGGTTTGTGCATCAGCGTGACTGTCTAGTTTTGTTTTGTTTTCTCTCATAAAGCGAGGTTTAGTTGCTGGGTGGAGAATGGATTATGGAGGCAAAACTAGAAGCAAAAATGGGATACTAATGGCAGGTGCACTTGAGATGCCGTGGCTCAGACCATGGTCAAGGCCGTGGAGATGGGAACTGGGCAGAGGGCAGAACCGCAAGGACTTGATGAGTGATTGATTCGCTGTAGGGTCAGAGAAACATAGAGAGCAGTCCAGGGTGACTCCTGGGTTTCTGGTTTGGCCAACTGAGGAGGGGACAGTGCCAGTTTCTGACCAGGAACATCGGTAGGGTGGATGGGCTTAGAAAAGTACAAAATCAAGGGTTTGATTTTGGTCCTGTTGAGTTCGTGATGCCTATTAGGTGTTCGAGTGGACATGTCAAGTAGAACATTGTATTTATGGAGTCTGGAACTCAGGGTGAACCAGGGCTGATAAACAAGTGTCAGGCAGGAAAGCTCCTGCCTGGTGGCCTGAGACAGAGTCTCAGCCCCAGTGGGAACGACAGATGCAGAGCTACAAAAATATTCCAGACCGCGGGGAAGCTAAGAACATCCCTCCAGAGGGAGGCAGGGCAGTGACTTCCGTATGTCACTCACACGTTACAGGCAAACAAGTCTATTGAGCTCTGAACTAAAGGTGATGACCATTCAAGATCCAGATGCTCAGGTTCTTCCTTCTTCCCCATTAAAAATGTACTAATTAAATTTTAATGAATTGAGGTTATGAAAAATGATTGCAAATTCATGTTACAGGCCAGGTTTTGCAGACAGCGGCTATATCAGCTTTGTAAATTAATTTGGTCAGCAATCCTGCAAAATTGCTAAATTGCATTGCTATTAAGCCAGAGAAGATGTGTTTCCAAAAGATCATGGCTGTAGAAGTAAGTGATGTGCTTTGTCACGAGCACTGACGGTTGTTTGGTTAAGGAAAGCATATTAACTAGAGAGAATGATGGATGTGAGTGTTAATTAAATTATGGCAGAAATGTTTTGTGCTTTAGAATTTTTCTTTACATGTGGTTTTAATTATGGGTAGCAAAATCCAGATAAATGCACTAGTTTTTGCACATGGTGATTGCTGTATCTATATCCACCTGTAACAGTAGGAATGTGAGATTGAGGCTTCAGGCATTATTTTTTTTATCTCTAAATGATTATACTAGAAGGTGTTACCAGTAGTTATGTTGCTATGGCATAAAGTAAAATTTAGGTATGGTAAATTAAATTTTAATGGAATAATTTAAAGGAAATTTAAAATTCATAAGCATTGTAAAAAATAAAAATTCAACAGAAGGTAGATTTAATAAGAGGAATAAATGATGACTTTTTAATTCTTTTTGAGCAGATTAAATACTGGCAATTAGAATATACCAACTAATTTTTAAAATTAAGCAATATTAAGTTAAATACAAATTATGATATCAATCACTTCTAAAGTAGCAGTTTTATTCTTTGGATTACTATGAAAATCAATTTTAACCAATTTCTCTGAACATCAGACACAGAATCTAATACTATAAACTCAACTGATGTTATTATCTTAACATGAGCCATTAATGCCTCTGGGGCAGAAACTGGTACATCTTTGAGGACAGTGGGGGGTTGAGTCAAGGGAAGGCTTTAAGATGTTAGGGTCCAGGAACCAATCTTCAGCTCAAAGTATTTTATCTACAGATGCTGAACTGATAAAAAATCAGTCTATATGCTTTGATTTTCAAAGCAAAGCCTATCATGTTCATTTAGGAGATTTTAAAGAATTAGGTTTTGAATACTGATATTTTCCTAATTCTGGAAGTTGTTAATTGTTGTATAGTTACTAAAATGAAGGACCTTGAGTGGGTGGGTGGGGGGAAGAGAACAAGGCATGTGGATTACATGATTTCTTGCTCTTTTCGAGTTGAGTTTAGATATTCCCCTCTCTGTAAAGATGGGTTATCTGGGTAGGCATTTGTCATTACATTAACCTTGAAGAGACCCTCCAGTTCCAGGATCTGTTGGCAGCTTGAAGAGGCTACCAAATGGCAACTGTGAACGAGACCTAGATGGTCTCCAAAGGCTCCGCCAGGTCTAGGCTCTGGCACTTTATGAAGTCATAGATAAGCCGTCATGTTTGGGGAGAGTTAACTCTCCAGGGCCAAACTCACAACAAACTGATGCCTTAAAACATTTTTTTAAAGGCAGCATATGAGTATATGGAAAGCTAAAGGGTCAGGATGACCAGTATGGGTCATTAACATTGGACCCCCTCACCTGGTGGATAGTGGTCTCCTGTTCTGTTTGAACAGATGACTGCATGCCCTGAGGCTTTCTTCTATGAAGCAAGAGTGATGCCCTTTTCTAATCTGGAGACTTTTTTGTCCTGTCAGTGTTTTCTTTTCAGGAATCTGTCTACTGCTCTCTATCTCCATTGCTTCACTTCTAGCCCTTGTCTTCTTGGGAAACTTATTCTAATCAGTGCATATTAGCAAGTTATTTTTTTATTTGTTATTTTCTGAAAAGCTCCCCATTGCAGTTTTATCAATTTGTGCTGATTCTCAGGAAGGAATGAGTCATTTTCTTGCCACATCCTGAAATTGTGGAGTTATGCTTTATTTTGCAGAATCTATTCAATAACTACAGCATACACTTTATTCTAACAAGGTAAATGTATTAAATGGGATGTTCTGAGGGAAAATTATATATGCTACTTTCAGTATAAAAATATAGTCTTCAAATTTAGTCTTCAAAATCGGATGAGCTTCTGATGATCATATTATGCGTTTTCCTCTCTTTCTATCTAGTATTTCATCCCCCATGCTCAGTTTTCTGCTACGAATCTTGCTCATTTCACTGAGAGAAAATAAGTATTCACAGAGAGTTTCCATGATTCCACTACTGCACTAACAAGCTACCCACAATTGCTCCCATGTGCTCTGCTTTCCCTCCTTTTAACCTGAATGAACCGTTCTGGTCCGCTATCCTGTTCCCTCTCACCTGCTGAGGGACATCATTCTAGTTTTTACATTCCCCTCTGCACCACGATTTTCCTTCTCTACTGAGTCTTGTATATCACCTTAGAAACATGCTGTATTTCCATTCTTTATTTTTTAATTTTTAAAAGATTATATTAATTCATTTTAGAGAGAGAGGAGTGGGGGGAGAAAGAAAGGGAGAGAAACATCAATGTGCGGTGGCCTCTCATGCGCCCCCTACTGGGGGACCTGGTCCGCAACCCAGACAAGTGCCCTGACTAGGAATTGAACTGGCAACCCTTTGGTTCACGGGCCTGCACACAATCCACTGGGCTACATGAGCCAGGGCTATATTTCCATTATTTAAAAAAGAAGAAGAAGAACTCTCCCTTGTCTCCACATTCCCCTCCACTTACCGGCCCATTTCTTTTCTGGTTGTAGCAGAGCTCCTCAAAAGAACTGTCTGCACCTCCTTCCTTCCCACTTTCTCTTGAACCTACTTCGTTCCATTACAAGTCCCAAGCAGTCCCATGAAAATGCACTTTTCAGGACCAGCAGAGTCTTCACACTGTCCAGTTCCGCATCTTGTCCACCCGGACAGCCACCTCTAATATAATTGCTCACTCCATCTCAATACTTTTCTCACCTGGCCTCCAGGACACCATTTTTTGTTCTTGTTGTTATTTTCTTTTCTCCTCCCTCCTTCTCTGTCCTTTTTTGCTCATCTTCTACTGTCTTCTAACCTCTAGTGACTTTGAAATCTTGCAGTTCCTTAGAGTTCTGGTCTTGGACCTCTTTATCTCTCTGTCTACACTCAGAACTGCTTCTAGCTTCTTAGCTTTAAAAACCGTCTCTGTCTTGGCAATTCTCCAATGCACGTCTCTTACTCTCACCTCCCTCCTCAACCTCAGACTTGTGTATGCTTCCTCCTACCCAGTATCTCCACTTGGGTACCTACTAAGCATCGGGTTCAATATGTCCAGAACTGAGTTTCTGATTCCATATGCCTGCAGACCTGCTTCTGCTCTGTCTTCCCATTCTCAGGGCATGACAAGTGCATCTGGTTATTGCTCAAGCTGAAAATCTGCATCCTAGGCTTCATCCTAGGCTTCTCTCCCTTTTTCTCATACCCTGCATTCAGACCATCTGCATAGCTGGTGGCTCTGACCTTCAAAATACATTTATAATCTAACCACTTCCTGCCACCTCCATTTCTACCACCCTAATCAAAGCCATCACCTCCTGTCTGGAATCCTGCTAAAGCATCCTAACTAACCAGGCTGTCTGCTTCTCTCCCACCCATCCCATCTGTTCTCCATATTGCTACCAGAGTGACCCATGGCATGTACCTGAGGTCACATCAATGTCCCAGTGTCTGTCCATCTCATGTACAGTTAGTGTAGTAGAGCTGGAAATAGCTTGCCAGGTTCTTCATTACCTGAGCCCTCACCCCCATCATGTCCCCCCTGCTCCCCTCCACCACCAGCCTTTTCTCTGTTCCCCACTTCTACCTCACAGCCTTTGCTCTGGCTGTTCTCTCTGCCTGGAACAGTCTCCCCTCAGTATCCTCATGCTCCGTCCCCTGACTTCCAGATCCTCCCTGGTCATTCTGATTAAAGAAACATCTTCCCTACAACCCCACTTCCAACATTGCTAAGCCTGCCCTTTATTTATCCGCAGCACTTATGGCCATCAGACACATGGTACTGATATTTGTGTATTGTCTTTCTCCTCTCCAGAATGAAATAAAATGGGAAAAGGGCTTTGTCTGCTTTGTTCAGTTTGTCTGCCACGTGTGTAGAACAAAGACTGGCTCTCAAAAATATTAGTTGTTGAATGAATGGATGAACACAGGAATGGTGGACTGGAGTCCAGTCTATATAATGTTAATGTATAACATGATATACATCACCATCAACCCCTAGCAGAGGGGTGTCAGACTTGTTTTCACTGGGGGCCACATCAGCCTTGCGGTTGCCTTCAAAGGGCTGAATGTAATTTCAGGACCGTATGAATGTAACTGCTCCTTAACAGTTAAGGGAGAGCTCGGTGCCGCCACCTGGTAGAAACAAGGCGCTGGGCGGGATAAAACAAGGCGGGAGGCCGGATTGAGCCCATGGGCCTTGTGTTTATCACCTGTGCCTTAGAATATATTAGTCTTGCTTTCATGATATTCTTTCCTGTCTGTAGCTTAATAGCTAACCTTCCTCCATTTTATGGAAGTAGCATGTTGCATTGCTTTTCTTTGTGTATTTTTTTAGTCTCTTGATAAAGAGAAAGCTTTCATTTGTCCTGAGTTATTTTTACAGCATGTAGAAAAGTAAACTTTTCATGAATATCTTGGGTGACTACAAATACAGGCTTGTCCTGGGCCATTGATTCAGTGTGGGACTCCCTCTAGTGTGAAGACGATTTGGCCGAGAAGAGAAGGAGCAATGACATGCTTCGCAGGGCCATCGAGACCTACCAAGAGGTGGCCAGCCTGCCTGACGTTCCTGCGGACCTGCTGAGGCTGAGCTTGAAGCGGCGCTCAGACAGGCAACAGTTTCTAGGTAAGAAAAGTTCAATCAAGGCACGTGCTACGCTCTACCTTGAAGAGCCTGAAAGCTACACTTACATGATAGTAAGAGTATCATATACTCTTAGAGGAGTCTAGTCACATGGAAGGAAACCTGAGTTCTATAACTAATTTCAGGTAATTTACCTGACTCTTTCTTAGACTAAAATAGCAATCCTAACCTTGGTGGTCACAAAGATGCCCATGATATTCTTACCCCTTTTCCTCTGCACCCCACCCCACCCATTTTAAAACTGAGGTAAATGGGATGCTGAGGGACTGGATAATTTGCTTAAGGAGTTATAGCTAATCAACTAATAGGTCTAGAATAAAAAAAACTCTTCCTATCGTGCCAAATTCTTTTCTGTCTTAATTAGAACAGCCTGATTCATGGAGGTTAAACTGATCAGTGGGGTGATATTTATAGAGGGATATTAAGAGGTCCAGGCCCTCTAAAATTTTACATGTAAGGTTTGACTCTATACCAAGAAAAATAATAGGAAAGATTTTTAATGACTAAGTGCTTTGAAAAGAGCAGCATAAAGTATATCCTCTGAGTGACCCATGTTCCCAGAGCCAAAGGCAGTGCGCACTAGCTGAAGCTCACCTTCATTATAACCAGGCTGTGATTCCGGCCCTCATAATTTGTCTTCGGTAAACTGGGAAGGAAGAATGTAAGCCAGTGCTAAGGTGGGTGCTAGGCTGGCTGGGTAAGTTACATGAATGAATCATCCATGGCACCAGGAGAGGCTCATAGAAGCAATATTCAAGGCCAGTTTTCTGAGGAGTTGGATTAAAGGTAGTATGTCACTCAGGTGACCAAAATCTCTGATTGGAGATGGCCCAAGTGATGTTTATAAAACAGGAGAAATGGTCAGTTAGACTTAGAGTCTTAAGGGTCAGTTTGGGGGGAGAACAGCGTACAGCACACGCACAGGAGGGAAACAGCAGGGCTGGGACTCGTGGGGGGGGCACTGGTCTTAGGTGCACAGTCAGCACCACCAAGCTGTCCTCTTGCCTCGGGCTCAGCTGGATGTGCTGGGCACTGGTTACTGACTCAGTCCTTCAGTTTTTGATATTTTATTCATCATATATATTTACATTATGGTTCTTGTATGCGCCCTGACTGGGGATCAAACTCACAACCTTGGCCTATCAGCATGAGGCTCTAACCAGCAGAACTAGCCATCCAGGGTGATATTTAAATTAATTTGGATTTTTAAAAAGAATACACAAAACCACTCATCTTGATTGCTGAGTATTTGGCACCCTCTTGAACTTTGCACTGAGGGCCTCACTTGTCTTGCTTATTGCCAACCTGGTGAGGAGAGACTGCAGGTGACCAAATCTAACCCTTTTCCTCAGCAGTCTTTCACTTTGGTCCTTTCCTCTGAGTGAGAATGAGGCCAGTTCAGTAGAGGAATCCCTGGGAGGAGGGAACTGTGTGCAGAAGACGTCAGTGAAGGGGACACAGCGATGAACTGTGCACAGTGGCATAGGGTTCCCTGGTGCAGACCCTGGGGCGGGGGGTGTGGGGGCGGAGATGGCAGCAGACGGGGTTTCCACCAGATCTTCGTAGTGGTTCACAGGGGAAGGATACAAGCAGGAGGAAAGTGTGAGCTTAGTCTGGGCAGCTGGGGAAAGAAGGCTGCTTAGGTTTATCAGTAAAGGAATGAACAGCTGAGCAAACCTAGCCCAGAATGGCCAGTAATGGGGAGCCAGCCATGGGACAGGTTGGTGATATTTTTTGATTTATCTGTTTGTGGGGCTATAGCTATTGATGGTCCTAAAGTTCTTGGTTAATATTCAATTTGTGGACAAGTGAGCCATTTAGGTAATTAATTTTGTCATGTATACCAATCTTATCCTTATCTTGTATTCCATTCGTCTTACCTACTTTGGTGATGAGCAGTGACGATTGATCCCAGAAATTTTAATTTTCCATCAGATAGATTTCAAAATCAGTTGAAGCTAGTGTTTCCACGGCTCCTGTGAGCGTAGTATCCCATCGTCCACCAGAGGGCCCCATAACACTGGACGATGCCTCCTTAGCTACGTGAAGAGGCTCTTGCCCAGAGGTGAGGGCGCTCTTAGTTTCAACGGTGTCAGCAGGGTGGGTACTCAGTGCCTCCTCAAGTTTCCCACAGGGTTCCGGACCCCAAAATGAGTTAGGTTTTTAATGTGTTGGTTCTCTATTCATATTTTTTCTACTTATACTTTTAAAGCTAATCTTAATAAACCAAAAATATCTCAGTACAATTTTTTTAAGGAATTGGTAACTGAAACTTTCTTAAGACTGAATTTAACATAAAAAAGTAAATGTTAATGAATTCAGAAAATAAGACTGTCTTCGAAGTGTTTATAATCGGTATCATATTTAGCATCTATTTATAGGAGTTATTGACACCATCGCAACTGCGTGATGAAATCTTAGTAGGTACCTAGCCATCTGTATACAGGGTCAGGTTCAAGCTGGTCTTCGGGTTCTGTCAAATAGTCCGTCTTGATTTAAGTCTCAATAGAAAAGTGTACATAATCTGTTTTGATCTGCATCATTTCTATTGGATTCTCTTTTTCTTCTCTTCCCACCAAATCAGGTCACATGAGAGGTTCTATTGTTACACTGCAGAAATTAGTTCAATTATTTCCTGATGATACTTCCTTAAAGAATGACCTCGGAGTGGGGTATCTCTTGATAGGAGATAATGATAATGCCAAGAAGGTATATGAAAAGGTGAGCAAGCAGCAATCTTCTGTTAACTACATCAAATTATACTGAACATGAAGTTCTAACGTTCCTAGTATATTGCCTTTAATGCACCCTGTTTCTCTCTTTGTGTTAAATTAAATGGCATGTATTGTGATAATGGACTTCTTAATACCGTTTTCATATCACTACTTTCCCTTGATCAAAGATTTTAAATTTTAGTTGACACTTGGTACATCAAAACTTTCAAACTATAATTGCAGTACTCTTAAAACTGAATCTTTTTTCAGTCCACCAACAGCCTTTCTTAAAGCGTTCTCTATGATGCAAGGAGAAACTCAAGTTTTCCCTGAACTCTGTGCAACGCAGTCCTTTCCTTTTCCCACTAGAAGCCTCATCTACAGAGAGTCAACAGAACTTAAGTCTTCTGGGCACGGAGAGGACATGACTCACCTCTCAGAGGTCACCAACCCTGATCCCCTGCTACGGTGCCCTTCCAAGGATTTCTGCCTTGCAGTGGACATTTTAATAAATAACCTCGAGGTCACAGTTATAAAATCTAGAAAACCATGGCTCCTTCAAGCAATGAGGGAATTCATTTGGTATGAAGTAAATAGGCTACCCAAGAAACTTTGAAGCTGGAGAAAGTTAATGCCTCTGTAAAGGAAAGATGAACACATTTATTTGTTGTTCTTCAATTTGGCCTTTACTTACACCTGTGGTTTTCCAGTTGGCCCTTTTTACATCAAAACGCTCCTCCTGCGGGAGAGCCAGTGTGATTCCTTCTGTTTTTTAAAATGCTGGCAAGTTCAGTGTAATAATTGCGTACCCAGTCTGGACTGCTCTGCTCATAAAGGGTGCTTTCCTCCTTTTATTGCTGTAGATGCTTCACTGAAAATCATCGAATTTTGGAGCAGTTGTCTCTTCACCCTCCTCATAATTTTCCTCTTTTCTGAGGGAACAGAAACAAAACCTTTGCTTTTTATATAGCATGTTGAATAGCTACATAAAGTGGATTCACTGCAGTGTTGAAAATCTGCGCCATCCACCAGCATACCTGTTCCAGATCGCAAAACATGCCCACTTGGGGCATTGCATTTGCCCATGGCCAAAACCTAACGCTGAGCACCCTGTCCAGCAAAATTTGGGAAAGGGATACATCATGTATCTCAGAGATTCAGGATCGTATGAATGTAAGAATTGTTCATCTATGTTCAATATACCCATTAATCTGCAGAGGCCACAAAGATTGAACTGTGGAATTAATTCCTCCCTCCTCCCCTACCTCCCTTCCAAAAATCCTGACCAAGTTCGACTGAGAGCACCAAGCCCAGGTGAGGTTAGGGCAGGATCTGAAAACATACTAATGTCTCTCACTCACTATGGATTTGTCCTTCCTCAACTTCTCAAAATCTCCCTTGAATATATTCACTCTTTTTACCTGATACTAAATCTCAGAGACTGAAACATTTTTCTTCATCTTGACAAATAAAATTTCCCTGCTGTTGTTTATGCATTTGAAATCATAATCCCACCTAAATAAGCACAACAGGATGCAGAGAGTCTAAAATCTAGTGATACAATGCCATCGAGTGGGTTTCTTTTTAAAAAAGCAATATAGATGCAGGTATGTGTTTGCCTTTTATTTCCTTTTCCCACTTCAGAGTTAATAAGCTGTGTCTAATGGATTCTCTCTCCTTAACCACAGTTTATCCTGATCTGTTATGGCTCAGTCAAAGATCATTTCCAGAAAATGATACTGTAATTTTATATTTTTTCGTGTTGATTTTTATCTTTGAGTAAATTAATAAAAATTATCAATCGTTCCCTTTCTGGGTTTTTGCTGTATTTAGTTTCAACAGTGACCGACTTTAAAACGGTCAGAGGTAGGTTGCTCACCTCCGCACCTCTTGGAGGCGCCCCTGCCCGTGAGCTGAGGTCAGCTCGTCTTACTCCTCACACACATCCATTCCCTTAGCCAACAGCAGTGTATCAAAACCCATCACATAGCTTGGGAAATGGTTGCTAAAGGTACAAACACAGTGTGTCCTCCTGGAGTCTGCAATCTGGTGCCAATTCACTAGTTTCTCAATTATACTTTCTGAGTATCTTTCAGATCCCCTCCATGTTTAACTCAGGCACTCGGCAGCTCTTGCCTGCTGGGCCAATTTACCCTGTACAGGCAGGGCTGGGACCTCCCGCCTTCACCAACACAGACCACAAATCTGACCCCCCCCCCCCATTCTTGGCTCTAACTCTTCGGCGGTTCCCATTGGCCGCAGCTGTGGTCTTCAGTCATGTTTGAATGTGTAAGCTGCCAGTAAAAAATGTTCCAGCAAGTACTTGTGAAACGTGTGTTGGTGTATATATTACATATATGTGTGTACGTACTAATATGTGATGGACATTGCAGAAGATACACAACTCCAAAATAAGTATTAAGTGGAAATAACATTTCAGATTCTTTTTAATTTCACTTAACTGGCCCAAAATTGTTCATTCGCCCTGAAAAATATAATACTTTAGTAATATCAATCTATAAACAACACTATTTATGATTATATGATCTTTAAAATTCTGGTAGTGTGTCATGCGAAGCATTTGTGCCGGGACCAGACACGCCAGCTATACTGCGATTTTTCGCTTTTCTCTGTGGCACGTGCACAGGCATGTGTGTGTGCAGAGAGAGACTGAATCTGTTATATTGTCATCACTAACATCAGTCCGGGGTTCGTAGAAATCTTGCACAGCCACCTGTCCTTTTCGGAGGGTCTGTTGCTTACAGCTGGATTATGCACCCTGCACACCTGTGACGCGCCCACCTGCGAACCGCAACAAGCACCGCGGGCGATCGGAATGAATGGAGCAGAGAGGGCAGCGTCTGGCTGCCTCGTCGCCCACCCTCCCCACCGCATGTGTGTCCGTCAGGTGTGGGACTGTCTGCCACGCACAGGGGAGGAGAGCCCAGGAGCCTGTTGCATAGTATCCGCTCTATTTCAGAGACACGCAAACAGGAACTTCTTCATTTTCTACTCCCCAGTGGGTTATCTTGTACCTGAAACTAAACAGGAGCCTTTGTGATTTGCCTCCTGCCCGCTCCAATCTCATTCCCTTTTGCTCTTCCTGGCCCACTGTTCCCTTTTACCCACTTTCCCCTGGGCCTTAAATGCTCTCCCCCTTCTGTCTTCCACACTTCCTCTCCCTGGTGAGCTCCCAGTCATTCCTTAATAGCCTTCCTACCTTGCCCTGTCACACCCACCCCAGAGTGAGCTAGGTGTCCCTCCTCTACTCCCTGCATGCCTCATCCCTGTCACTATAGTTACACTTACCACGCTGCATTACCACTGTCCACCTCCAGGTCCTTTTCTCTCCCTCGACTGAGAAGGGCTCACTGAGAAAAGCGAGTATATCTTACTTATCCATGTCTGGAGCCTAGAAGAGGTCTGTGTCTGCCAGTCACTTAAGATGGTGGCTGTGCGTCTGCGGGAGACAGGAGTGCCATCTGTGTAGCTGCAATAATTATAATAACCCCTTCAGAGTTACACTGCCAGAAACATGATCTGCATCAGTTCAGCTCCCTTTCGGAGATATTGGATGCACCCCTCCCTGCTCAGCACCTAGCTTGGTAACAGGTGCTGTGGAAGGTGCAGAAGAAGCGGAGTTTGCGCTTTCAGGGATCGAGGTTGGGAAGAAATCCCACGTGCACCCGTCCATTCGGTCAGTGTGGATTTCCTGACCACCTGCCATGTGCCAGGCACCGTCCCAACACTGAGGATCAGCGGTGAGTGCTACAGGCACTATCCCTGTAGCACTTATTTCTTAGTGGGGGAAAATACTAAGTCAAATGGAAATGAGGGCCATGAATAAAAGGGAGTAAGAAGGAATCAGGATAAGGAGGTTAGAAAGTGACCAGTGATGAGGAGGAGGGTGTCTGCTTTACGTCAGGTGCTTGTGCATGGGCCTCACTGACATCCCTTCAATCACGGCTTCCTCGAGGTCAGGGAGTCAGCCCTTTGGATAGCTCGGAGAAGACGGGCCAAAGAGCATTGCGGGTGCAAAGGTCCTGAGACAAGCCTGCCTGTGGCTTGTATTGCAGCAATAAGGAGATCAGGGCACCTCAGAGTAGCTGCTGAGAGGCCAGAGAAGTAGAGAACCGCCCATCTTGCTCTAAGAGAAGTGGAACCCCTTTGGGTTTTGAACCGAGGGGAGATGACATCTGACCTAGGGTTAGTGAGTCCATTTAGGGCCCCATGTGGAGAATGGGTCGCAGGGCTGGGGGTGCAGGGAGGGGAGAAATGACTGTCTTGGACCAGGGTGGCAGCAGTGAAGGAAGTGACAAGTGATTCTGAATATATTTTAGAGGTAGCGTTGGCCGGGTTTGCCAGTGGTTGGGCTGTGGGACGGGATACAAGCTGGAGAATGCTCAAGTGTCCGTGGTGCATTCTTTGGACTCCCAAAGGCCATGGGGACCCTCTCTGCACACTTACTCCTCCTGTGCAAGGAATCTGTCATGGCCGTACCCCCTTTTCTATTAGACTCAAGGAAAAACAGGAGCTACAGGATATTCACTCAACCCAAACCTTCTTCATCTTTCACTTTTGTTCTGTAAATCAGTTTGTCTAAGCGGTTTCACAAGTGGAATGTTTTAGTTTCTCACTGCTAATATTTCATTAGATGCATTCTGAATAATTTATCTGTAATCATAATAAATGCACATGAAAATAAACCATGGTTTGATTTATTTTAAATGTTTACCTGGGTTTTGTCACAGCTTATTGGATTTGCTCACCACTTTACCCTCAGTCCTTAAAATGGTCCCAACCTTCAAGAAATTTATGTTGAATCAACGGATCATGATAAATTACAAATGGAAATCTAAATTTTCTGTTCATTAAGGCAATGTATGAAGCATGTATGTAAAGAAATGTATAATCATTAAGAGTTGACTTTATGATAGGAAATTTAAAGTAATTTTCTTGGTTACTGGAAAAATATTGAAGCCATAACAATTGGCAGCTGTTTTGCTGATTTGCATTGTCAAAGTAATGCTTTAACAGTCATTGCCTTTTTGTATTTATTTCTTCATTCTTGAAGTACAATGTGTAAATGTGAAAACACTGAGTTGAGAGGAAATTGGGCCTTATAAGCCTAATATATTGCAGTGAAACAAAACACAAGTGTTTCCAGCTGTAACATCATAATTCAAGCACAGCAAAGCTAATTAAAATTTGTTTTGACAGTCATTTGTAGAATTTGTAGTCAGTCACAATAGCTTTTTGTTTTCTTTGACTTTAGGTTCTGAATATGACACCTAATGATGGCTTTGCTAAAGTGCATTATGGCTTCATCCTGAAGGCACAGAACAAGATTGCAGAGAGCATTCCCTATTTAAAGGTAACTGTCCCTGCCCTCGCTCTTTTTTTAGCTTTTGGTTCTTTTGAATGACTTGGATACCCTTGACTGTGCCTTGTAGATTGTGCTGCCTGCACCACTGAGTCTTTTCATGGTGAAAATGTGCATCCTCTGACCATGATGTTCATAGGCCACTGTGGGCCTCCACTGTCATTGGGAGTGACTGTGATATTCACAGGTCGATGTGGACCTCCAACATGACTGAGAGTGACTGTGATATTCACAGGCCAGAGTGGACCTCCGCTATGACTGAGAGTGTCAAATGTACAAATACTAACTATGTGACCAGAGACTCTTTAGAAGACACTTTGTGAAGAAATCCCTAAAACTGCAGTTATTATTAGTTTTTATTGAAGCGTCAAAGGTGTATTCCAAAATAATTAATGTAATATTTTAAAATATGGGTAATGAATGAAGCACCCCTTTCACAACTGAATAGTAAACCAGTTTGAACAGGGCTCATGTACCTATGCAAAGTGAGGTAACGAATGCCCACGGAATAGGTCAAGCTCCAAAAAGCCTGGGAGCTCACAATATTCAGACTGAAATAGGTGGTCATTCTTCTCACGTATCCAGTTGAATCCTTGTCGGGTCGCTGGAATCGCATTTGCTCTGGCGCAGGGCCGCCGCAGAACCTTCCGTGCAGCCGAGGCGTTTCTGTAACTCCCCCGTGGTAGCGGCCGCCACAGGTGCTGGTGAGCGCCTGAAATGTGTCTTGTGTGACTGAAGAACTGAATTTTCATTTTTTAATTCTAATTAATTTTAAGTTAAATATTAATTTAACTTAAAATATTAGCCAATGGCTATCCTATTGGACCAGCAGCTGATTGAATGCCTGTGAGCATCTGTTTAAGCAGCAGTACATTACACTTCTATGATGTCTTTCATAGAAGATGCCAAATAACAGCCCACTGCAAATAGCTTGCATGTTGTATTTGGCCGACATAATTCTATTAAAAACTATTTTTACTGCTTGTCTCTGTTGAGAATCTGCATGTTTTATGTAATCCTGCAGATGTCTGGTTTCTCGTGAAGGGTCCTATCTGGCCCCCACCCCCAGGAGCCGAGCAGCTGTGGGAGAGGCGTGCACCCCAGTCTGTCTGGGTTGTCCCTGGGCCTCTGCAAACTTTTCCACCTGGGCCACCACCTCGTGGGCATGCGTGTCTCTCTGATTTAAAGTGCTCCCTCTGGGTTTGCTTTGGCAGATGAGAACCTGATAGGACTCTCCTGCTTCAGGGCCCAGGAGACGGAGGGCAGGGTGGTCAATTAACCAGTGAGGACCTTTATTCGAGTGCCTGTCAGTCAGGAACCCGGACCACAACCCTCCTCCTCTCCTGAGTGATGCTTTCCTCTTTCTTGCAGCTACTTTTCAACACTGTGCCAGTAAGATTTCTCCCCAGGAAAATGCGCTTCTTGTGAAAAAGCCTCAGGGAGGCAGATTTACTCCTTGATATTTAAATATTTTTTACCTTTTTCCTTCTTTTACTTTTTGAATTTTCTTCTCTTGCTTTACTATTTTCTCTCTCTTTTTTACATAAATTTTAATTTAGTGCTTATGTGGGAGATTGGAACAGATATCAACTAAGTGTTTTAGAATAGGATTTGTTTAATAACAATACGTTTTCAAAGATTCCAATTAGCTTTAATCATATCATATGTCCTATAAAGTATTTTATTAAAAGTAATAGCACATTTATTTGGAGAGGGAAAAAATATTACTTGCAGTTAGGTCTCTACCACTTCAGACATATATGCACAACTAAACATTTGGGTTTAGGTATTTTTTTAAAAAAGCTTCTAGATGACAGATGGTCATATTTGTAGAATAAGATAAATGTGATAGATAGCCACCCAAAGAAATTCTTTGGGATATTGAAATATTACTATGCCCACAGAGACAATTCAAAAAGCATCATGCTAATTTTTTTATCAATTAATGATTAATGTATTGTTAAATTTAGCTGTTATTACCACCTTTTAAAAAACTATACTCACATTGTAAATATTGACCAATAATCTAACTGCCAAACTTTAATATTAAGAAGAACCTATCTGGTTCTTAGATTTTCACATGGTGTATAACAATTAAGTGAATCGGTGAATTAAACACGGTATTTAATTCTTTCACAAATGCCAACACTGTCTTTTCTGCAGGAAGGAATAGAATCTGGGGATCCTGGCACTGATGATGGGCGATTCTATTTTCACCTGGGGGATGCCTTGCAGAGGGTCGGGAGCAAGGAGGTAATGTGTTCATGAACTTTCTTTTTTTAAAAGAGGATAGTGTGGGGGCAAATTATCTCTAAGAGAAAGTTGCAGTTGAAAAAAATATTTTGAACATAAATTTTTTAAGGTGGTGACTTGAACTTTTTTGAAACAACTCAACAACTCCTACATAATCCCATAAAGAATTTTCAGGATTTGGCTTTTATAGTTTCTGAAAGAAAGGATCTGAGGAATTATAAGAGCAATCTCTAAATTAGTGTGTCTGTGTGTGCTTGTGTATATATATCTGTGTGTGTATGATAGGCATTACCTTAAACATATTTTTAAAGTGTGAAATAAAGTGACATCTTCTAAACTGTTGAAATATTTTTAAAGTATTTTAACAGTTTGCTTAGATTTATTTTTATTTTGGAGCTTGAAAGGTAATTATTTTAGAGGGAAGCCTTTATTCAGCTGATTCCTCAGCACACCAACCCCCATGGTTAATTGTGTGAATTACCTTCTGAAATACTTAGTATCCAGTTTAAGGGGAACACCTGTAGCAATAGTAGTAACAGGTACTGACGCAGGAAACGTAGTTGCTAAAACAAGTTACATATTTCCTTTGTGGTTACATTTCGGAGTACAGTGTCAGTTTTTTTAAACATAATATTTGATCATTAATCATGATGTATACAGTAAATCCCCAAATGAGCACAGTCAACCTGCCGCGATTTACAGGACATTGCTGGATGGCAGAGCTGCCACCACAGGGCCCTACACATGGCTCTAGGTCAGGCTCCGCTTACAGTCAGGGATGAAAGGCTGAAGGGAGGCACTGAATGTCTGTAACTCTTGTATTCCATGTATGTGACCAAGCGGTATCTAAGTATAACACAGCCTCAGGCTTCTCAGATTAATAACTTGGGGCCATTTGGACAATCAAAGGGTCATCGGAGCAAGGGGGTCTTGTGACGGGGTCACGGCCAGCTGGAGACACGAACCTGTCTGGGATAACAGAGGCTGAATCACTGACATTTTTCTTCATACATTTCTATGAATCTGTTCCTTTCCCCCACTAGCCTACCAGTCGGTCAATGGAAATAGAATGAGACATGAGAGGTGAAGAGAAAAAAGGGAGAGGAAATTGCTGATTAGTAATCATTTTTTCTGTTCCTTCATTCTTTTAGATGTAAGTGCCCGATCCCTCCTTTGAATAGGAGGGATAAGAAAGATTTTGCTGTGGTATTTAACACTGGATAAATGTCCATGTCTGATTCCTGTAAATGTATCTGTCACTAATTAATTTATATTTGAATATCTCAGGGTCCAGGGCAGAGACAGATAAAAGGAGTCTATGATTTCTTCTCATATCTTAGAGGAAAACAGCCCTTACTTCAAGGGCAAAGAATGCAGCACTAAACACTTGTTAAGGGCTTGGGGTTTGCATGTACGAGACTATTGTTCTGTTAGCTCACTTAGTTATTAATATGCACAGAACACACAGTTCTTGAATTTAGAAAGTGCACAAGGATTCGTCCTTACAGTAGAATAAAACAAGCCTGTGAAAACCCCATGTTAGTATATTCTTCGTGGCCGGTATTGAACCTGTGAATTAATTGCCAACCTCTGAGTTTACATATGAAGAAGCAACTGTCTTTCATGGTCTCAGTGCGTGGAACTTTGCTCCGGGCACCAAGAGAGGCACAGCCTCTGTGTTGCAGAGGCTGACAATAAAATTGTTTTGAAGAAGGTTCTTCGAATGTGTGTGTCTTGTATGGACAGAAAGAGGGAGGATGACAAACCATGATAGTCTGAGCAATTCAGCCTCAGCTGTTACCAATATTTCCATAACCCCCAGATCCACATTCCAGCTCTTGTCTCCCCAAATCTAGATTTGTGTGTCTGCTGCTTGCTTAGTCTCACCACGCAATGTCACAAAGACAGCTCACTTGTCTTCTTCTAAACCACTCTTCCTCTTGGGTTCCCTCCTTATTTGATGATATTCACGCCTTCGCAAGATCAGGGCTTGAATCAGCTCTAGTGCCTCCTGCTTGGAGAGGCCCCCGCCTAGACAGGGCCAGGGTCCGAGAAGTCCACCTGTTGGAGTGCTTGGCACCCTCGTTACCTTCCCTCTCACTCAGTCCAGCGCCGTTGAATGTTACCTTCCATGTCAGCACTGGCTGTAAGAACCTGGCTGTTGCTTTCTGCTTCCGTCCTCACCTTCTTCCAGGCCATCTTATGTTCAAACAGGTGCAAAATAAAAATACAGTCTTGTTTCTACGTGATGGCATTCACGGTCCTCCAGAGGCCTGCTGCGGCCAACTGTTCTCCCCACAAGTGTGCCTGCCAGGCGCCACACGCACGGTGCTCCAGGCAGAAGGGACTCTGGCTGAGCTGGGGCCTGAGCTGGACTCACTCGACACACTTTTTCTGTGCCGTGTGTGTGTGGAATGCATGGCAATAATTTGAAGTCTAGAAAATGCATTCAAGTAGGTGCCCCGGCACTCTATTTCAGGATTCTCGATTAGAGGTGTAAAAGGGAAATAATACCGGGGAAGTTTTCAGAGAGTTCTAACTTGATTACTGATTTTCTGACAACTCTTACTGACAAGTAGTTGAGATACTGAAGAAAGGTGGGGGCAACCTGGCTGAATTCTTTGGGTCCTCTCTGTAACTGAAGGTGATTTTACCCTCATCATTTAGCCTCAATGATTTACCATCATTGAAGATGACTTTTCTAAAACTCCTCATATATTACTGCCCTGGTGTGTTTCTCTAAAAGTTGAATGGGAGAGAGGCACAGAATTCAGGGCCCAGGAGGACTGACTCTTGAGTGTCAGGAAAGGGCTTAGAGGTAGTTTAGATGTGACATTGTCAGGGAACCAGGGGCCCAGGCAGCTACCACAGTGACTGTCTAGGCTGGGACTGTCATTAAAGACTTCTAGCTCCTCAGCTGGAACTTACAATAATTTTTTCATCATTCTAACAATATATATAGTTAATAGGTGAATTGCTGATGATTCAGAAATTAATAAACCTTAACATTTTTGAAAAACCACCTGTTTTAACTAAAATCACTGTTCACTTTAACACTGAAAAATACAGGAAATAAAATCCTAAGTTTACATTGGACTAAATTAATGAAAATAGTCCAATGAATTCCAATAGTAAAATGCTATTTTTTTTAAAAAGTCAGACAATTAGCTCTTTTAAGTTTCTGGTTTTTTAAGTTTCTCTTTTATGGCTACAATTTACATGTATTCAAGGAAAACATAAAAATGGTCAGCCTGTACATTTTTCATTTGACCTATTATTGAGAGAGGTAGTTAGGTAAGGATATCACTCGTGATGGTTTTTTGATTTTTTTAATGATACAAAGATGGAAGGATTGTGGAACAAGTTGCCAGGAGCCCTGGGTTATAGTCAGAGGTTTTAGGCTTTTTAAACCTCAGTTTCAACATTTGTAAACTGGAGATATTTTGTAGTTATGGGGAAGATCAAAAGCCGATTACATGTGTGAAAGCAAGCACTAAACCGAAGTGAGCTGCCGAAAACCTGAAGTGTGCCTGCTGTCACACTTGATTCTTCCAATGAAGGAAATTTTGAAGTGTGGATATTAGATTTCTAAAAGTTACTATAGTTTACATTTAAGGTTATCATATATCCGGAGTTTTATGAAGATACTCTCCTTAATCTGCTTGGTATTAAATGGCTATCCTTAATTGATCAAAATGTGTACTTGAAATCACTCTTCCGAAGCAACCGTTAGATCAGACCTATACTACCGGAGGGAGATGACAAAGTGTCTCGGTGGAGTCGCCTTCTGCCCCAAGGATGGCGGCCGTGTGCCCTGCAGGACGTGGTAGGGGGGCTGCTGGGAGAGCAGATGGCCGGGCGTCCTTGAAGGAGGCATGTGGAGCCAGAGCTCTGCAGCCAGCTGTCCCTGAAAAGCCTCGTCCTGGAGGCGAGTCGGGTCACCTTACAGCCGGCCAGCAGCCACAAATGGTGCCCCTTATGGCAGGGGAGGAAAAGGAACAAAAACCGCCTTTGAAAAAACCTAGCATGGTCTATCACTCTATTCATGCCAACTGAGAATAATATTTCCTTTTGCCTACTTAATGGAATGGAGGAGTTACCCTCGGTAACCGGGAGGTGGCTTCCCCAGTGCAGGTGTGGAAGAACCTGCAATGAAAAGGGGGCACTCTCGACGTTAGCATTCCTAGTCAGTGGGCGGAAATACCTTAGAAGAAGTTATCAAAATCATAATCCTTTTCTTTTAAAGGAAACATAAAAGTGGAATTGAAGAAATGAAAGCTAGAAGACATATAGTCTCCTTAAGTGTCTATAGTTATTTATTACTCAACAAATAACCACAGACTGTGTGCTGGACACTCTGAGGGAGACAGAATGCCTGCAGCATGAATCCTTTATTAAAAGACTTCGCAGTCTAAGACTGCAAATAAAATGCACACTTTCATGTGTGGTAATAGGTCATAACCAGAAATCCAATCAAATGACAGTATTCTCCCTAGTGTAACAGATTTGGGCCTGACTAGCAAGCTCTTTATTTAAATGTCACAAAGCAGTACTTTACTTGTAGTGACTTGAATGTTTAAATGACTAAAAGTGCCTCAGTTGCAGTTCATCGTTCTGTTATTTCAGGCGTACAAGTGGTACGAGCTTGGGCACCAGCGGGGACACTTTGCGTCTGTTTGGCAGCGCTCCCTCTACAATGTGAAGGGACTGAAAGCCCAGCCCTGGTGGACTCCGAGAGAGACGGGCTACACGGAGTTAGTGAAGGTGAGTGTTGAGTCAGCCTCTATCCTCACCAAATCGCTGGCTGCTTCCTGCTCCAAATCAGGGTGCTTCTCAGGCAGAGGCATGTCAGGGAGGAGGTAGATTTTACCTCCGGTGTCATTAGCCGAAAGTTCAGTCGAGATGATCAAGAAAGGAATTTTTCTTAAAGAGCAGTTCTCACACACTTTGGCTGAAGGATTCCTTCACACTCTTACAAATTATTGCACACCCAAGGTGTGTGTGTGTGTGTGTGGCAGGTTATGGCTATCAATATAATTATCAGAAATTGAAACTGAAGAAATGTAATAATTATTTGTGAATTCTTGAAAGTTAAAACAACTCCATTACACATTAATATAAATAATTTCTCAAAAAGTGACTATATCTTCTAAACAAAAAAATGTAGTGAGAAGATTGGAATTGCTCTTGTATTTTTATAAATCCCTTTGGCATCTGGCTGAACAGAAGACAGGGATTCCCCTGTCGGCTTCACGCTCACACGCTGGAGTGCCGAAGTCGTCTCCTTTATGCGCTAGATGGGCGTCAGTGGTCTGGCCTAAGGATCCCACTGCCATCTGTGCATTATTCACGTGAGAAACAACATTCTGCCTTTTAAACAGCTGATACTGCGTCTGGACTATGTGTTTTCCAGCTCTCCCATTGCCAGTGGATATTTACTAGGTGTCCTACAAATTTAACTCAATGCTGACACCATCTCCCTGGAGATAACATCGTGTTCCTCAGTCCCACAAGACAGCCCCATATCAGACACCAGTCACGAGTCCAGGTTGTCACCTGTGCTTCTGACCAACTGGCTGTACATCAGAGGTTCCCACAAGCCCTTCATTGGATTCAGTTAACATGCTAAAATGGCTCACTCAGAAACAGTCACTTAGGTTTACTCGTTTTTTTAAGAGGGATTTATAAAGGATGATGATGAACAGCCAGATGAAAAGGTACACAGGGCAGGTCTCGAAAGGTCTGAGGGCAGGAGCTTTTGTCCCCATGGAACAGGGTATGACATCCTGTTGGTATTTGGATTCTTCCCCCCAATCCAGTAGCTCATCACATCTTGACATCCAAGAGTGGTGGGTGGGCGGGCCTGGAAGCTCTAACCCTCTAATCATTTGGTCTTTTTGGTAATCAGACCCATCCTGAGACTATCAATCTAGGAGTCCATCCTAAGTCACCTCATCAACATAATGTCAGGTGTATTCCGGGAGCTTCTAATGAATGACAAAGAAACTCCTATAGCTCAGGAAATTCCAAGGCTTTCAGGGGCTCTGTGCCAAGAACCTGGGAGGAAGACCAAATATGCATGCTATTATTATACCACAGGCCGCCCCTAGTGGTTGGATCCCTTTAAACAAAAGGGTTAAGACAGCTAATAGACATTGGTGCATGTTGGAGTCCCATTCATTCATTAATGATTAGTCCATCATCATATCATATGAGTGGCCCAGGGCAAGGCCACTCAAGTTCCCAGGCCTCTGTGGATCTGGTAGGAGTGGTCTCAGCAATAGGTGTCTTTTCCCTTTCAGACATCTGGTACAATTGAGGTAAGAGACAATATCATCTCTTGTTCTAAGCCTCTTTTGAGGTGTTGATATATATTGGATTTCCCTCCTTACATAACCCATTTGTCCATTCCCTTCCCTTCAGCTGCTACTCCTGCTTTTCTTCATTTATACTCAAACTTTTCCACCTTTGGAAGGGATGTTGGGTTTGGCCACTGTGCTGGTCTGGATTTTAGGCAGCAGTACTGGTCTAGCAAGTGCCTCCCCCTCTGTCCACTCCCATTCAGATAAGGTCAGCTGAGCCAGGGGCAGAACCAGTGGGCTGTTTCTCCTGCATTCACCGCTGGGAGAGGTGAGGAGGCAGAAGCAAGAGTGACCAAGCCTGACGAATTTGGAATCTGGGTGTTGGATATATGGGGGTTTCTCACACTGTTCTCTCAGTCTTTAGATAAATATTTTACATTTCTTCAAACTTTTGTTTGTTAAAGAATATCTTAAATAAAATATGTCTATAAGACTTACAAGATTTTACTAATTAATTTGGTCTACTTGGGGGAAAGAAGAGTTTCTATGAGGTATCTGTGTACTTACATTGAATGTAACTTACCTGACCATGTTTATTCTGTATTTCATTGTAATAACACACTATATAATCATCATAAACAAATTGTGATCCATGATTTTCATCATAGTCCAATGCAGAGTAGGCTGCCACCAGTGAGCCTTTGGATGTTTTGTAAATCGGAAGCCACAGTGTGGTGGCAGTGGGCATGGACCGATTTAAAGAGGTTCTCTATCCAAAGCAGAAATAGTGTGGGAGAAATATCTCCCTCAATAAGTGCACTACATTTAACATTGTCAGTGATTCTTTTCTTTGTAACACTCTATCCTGTCTCAGATAGTATCACACCGAGCCCTTCTGATTCCCTCTCCACTAGCTAATCTTCTTCTCTTCATCTTTTTTGTAAGTACATTTCTCCACTGTAGATAGATTTCAGGATACTTTCCAATTCCAGTCACAGAAATGTGGCGTGAATCTGGCTGACACCAAGGACTTCGACTGACTCACATGCGGGAAGCCTGGCAGCAGGGCAAACCTCAGGGGCAGCGGCGCCGGGGGAAGATTTTCCAGTCTCTGTGCTCCCTCCTTGGTCAGCTGTGTCCTCGTGAGAGCTTTCTACAAGGGAACTGCCAGCAGAAACTGGAATGAGGGTTGGAGAGTATTTGGAGGCTTCGTAACATTGTTCGGCCACCACGCCATCCCTAACGCCTTCTAGAAACCTCTGAGCAGCTCCTGTCCTGTGGGTCAGAACCACGTCACCTGGGTACGCACAGTGACAACAGTCTGAGAAGGCAAGTAGCTCACAACACGCTGAGGCAACCAGTGTCCAGCAGGAAAAAGAGTGTCCTCACCATCAAGCAGGGAACAAAAATTTTTCCTTCTGTCTGACTGAGCCAATTTAAGTCACATTTCCCCTCTGGATGAATTATTGCCAAGGGGCTATGAGATTTTCTTTAAAACAACAGATCAACCCCTGGAGCCGGGGAACAGTCATATTCCTGTGCCTTCAGTGGGTGACTTGCTGGAGGGTGAGCATCTGAACTGGATTAGGGCTCTGTTAGGAACGAGAAAGAGACACGTGGATGCTTGGGAGGCGACCTAGTTGCTCAGTGGCCTGGCTGACTGTGGACCTGCTCTCAGGCCCAAACATTGTTCTCTGTTCTCTCTTTCTTGTGGTTCATTTCTAAGAAATCTCTTCTGCTCTAGTTCAAATGCTCTTAAAATTTCTACCAAAGCTATGCTTCCCAAATAGGCTTCTCACTTTATTTATTCTCTCCAACTGCATAGCAACATTAACATTCAATGTGAAAATTAATTCTCTGTCCAATCCCATGATACATTCCTTTCCATCTTTGTGGTTTTGACTCAGGATTCAGCCTTACTCTAAATTCTAGGTTTATGACTCTGTCCTGATCTCTTACCACCGCACTGTGCTACCTTTAATTCAGCCCAAATCTCTCCTCCCACCAGAGGATACTTTCTTCCCTAGGATAGTTTCTCCTCCTTTACCCTTCTCCCTTTTCCTTTTCTCCTGTCCCCTTCACATCTAATTCCCATTTCTCCTTCACATGTTAGAAAAGTTGTTATTTCTTTCAGGATGATAACTTAGAGGTCCTTCTTTACATGTGTTCAAAGGCACCTTGTACATCCTTTTTAAACACTAACACAGTGTCCTAACAGCCCCTTTAGTTCTCCAGAGCCCCATGAGATCACACGTGCTATGAGGGTGGACCGCATCTGTCAGCACTAGTACAGGACTAGCACCGTCTGATGCATGAGAGGCACTTGCAAATGAGGTCTGTTGTATGAGCTCCTATAAACTCTGTTTTCTTGAGTTGTTTCATAGGAGTGTCAGAAATCCCAGGAACATAAAAATCTTATTACTTAGCCTTTCTCACATACAAGCAGTCGGCACAGTGGCATCCTTCTTGGCCTTCCCTGAATGTGGGGGGAATTCTCTTTACTTCCACTGCCGTGGGAAAGAAAGGACTGTAGAAGGGAAAGATCCCCTCTGCCTGCCATTTCAGGAGCAGGAAACAAGGGCTTTCTTTTCTAGACATTGCTGCTGCCTAACAGGGAAGATATGTACAATGTTCAGAGCATCTGTTGAAACTTCAAGCATATAATTGCTTATAAAATATTGGGTCATGGAGCAGGATTTTGGAATGGTAGAAAGAATATTTTATAAATCTAATCCTTCATAAAAGCAATGAAAATGCCAAGAAAAATGATCAAAATCCACTTTTCCAGAACTCATACATTATCTAAAGATGTGTAACTATCCGAGAAACATTGCTCAAGAAAGTCTGCTCAACCTCCATGAGAACGGCAGGATTCGTGAGAAAGTAACTTGACTTACTCCCACCCACCCCTCCCCAGCTCCAACACTGCGTGGCAGGCTGGCATCTCACAGCACTGGCTGTGAAGACCAGCCCTGCAGGCCTCCCTGGCAGCAGACCAGGGAGGGAGCACCGCCCAGAGCTCCACATGCAGTGCGTGGCCAGTGTTGGATCTGCCTCCGGCTGTGTGGAAAGCCCCATGCTCAGGACATCATCGTTCTTTGACCTCACTCAGAAGTAAAGCTCTGTCCCAGTCTGTTAGATGAAATGGTCAGTGGTAGTTTTTGTTTGTTTTTTAAATACCACAGCTGCTCAAGACAGCTGTACCAATTGGGGCAAACAAGAACCTGGAACATAAACTTCACCGGAGAAGGTGGTAACATCTGTAGAACACTCCCTTCGGCACACGCAGAATGCTCCATCTTCTCAGGGACACACCAAACTTTCTTTAGGACATACCATGTGCTGGGCCAATAAAAAAGGTTCCAAACAACCTACAAGTATTGAAGTACTGGAAAATGAAGCCGTTCTCTAACCACAGGGGAATGAAATCCAAAATCATTAACCAGAAGAAAGTTGAGAAAT